TGGAGGACAGATTCGGGCTTCTTTGTTGTTGCTACAATTTGGACTTGAAAATTTCCTTTTTAACTCTTAGGCTCCATATGAAAGTTGTAGACCTATGTCTTACCTTTCCATCCATATAAAGTAGACCTAAATCTGAGATTTACAGCCCTAGATATGACCCAATTAACGAATATTGTTCCGGTTTGGACTGCACCGATATCTCTTTTCTAAGTTTGGCCATCCCTTTGTCCTTTCAATTTCAGTACTTAAATTCATTTATCAATCCTTTCATTTATGTAATAGACCTCCATTTAAAATGAATATTTACCACAAATTACAGGTATCTTATATTATTAGATATATTATTATAAGACATGCTTTAGTTGAGTTATTGATACTTCAAGTGCAAAAATGATGACATAAATGCTTGATAAAAATGCATTTTTAAGTACTAATCAAAAACCAATGCATTTTTAATGTCTCTTTCAATGCCTTTGTCTTGGACCGAGTCATTGGACTATTTGGAACATGTAATAGGTCCTTGCTGGTGTTTCTGGGCTAGTCCTTATCATCCCCTCTCTCCTCGAAAGGATTCGACCTTGAATCAAAATCTGTGTCAAACAATGTAAGATCAAAAACATTAAATGATGCGAACCTCGTGATAACATGGTCACGCAACCCACACACAAAGACACCAATTCTCGGAAAGCCAAGTAAATCAGGTTTGATAGGAGTGTGACACAAAGATAACTTCTACCTAGGCACCAGCACTATTGGTAACGGAAAACCCCCACCCAATGAATATTGATTCACGAATGAGAAGTATAAGGATGATGCCATGAAGACAGTTGTTCTTCAATAAGTCATTTTTCAGTTCATTAGAGAACCATGGAAGGCAGATTATCTCACCAACACACAAAGTGCGGCAAATAAGAAGTCTTATTAATCTGAATTGTCTTCCTTTACATGTTTGGTTATGCCTTTATTTATAGTGATTCTAGACTTAAAGAAACCCTAATGGACCCCCCTTCGGTGGACTTATATGTAGCCCACTTACAATTGACCCAAATAAGTAATAATAACCCAAAGACTAAGAAGAAAATAATAAAAACCCTAATGGACCCCCCTTCGGTGGACTTATACTGGCTAGTCACCTAATATTGAGATCGATTTTTAGAAAAGTGTGGAGTTTTCTATGAATTTTAAGATGGGCTGGTCACCTCATATTGAGACCGATTCTTAAAAAAGAGTAGAGTTTTCTAAGAATTTTAAGATGGGAGGTCACCCGATATTAAGACCATTTCTTAGAAAAGCATGAAGTTTTCTAAGAATTTTAGGAGGGGGCGATCACCCTATATTGAGATAATTTTTGTAAAAAGCGTGGAGTTGTCACTTGATATTTAGATCATTTTTTAGAAAAGTGTGGAGTTTTCTAAAAAAATTTAAAGTGGGAAGGTCACCTAATATTGATACCTTTCCTTAGAAAAACATGGAGTTTTCTAAGAATTTTAAGATGGATAGGACACCCAATATTGAAACCATTTGTTAGAAAAGCATGGAGTTTTTTAAGAATTTTAAATGAGCAGGTCACCCGATTATGGGACCATTTCTTAAAAAAAAAGCCACAGAGTTTTTCTAGAAATCTTAAAATAGGAAGGTTATCAGTTAGGGAGACCAATAGGAAAAGCACCGAGTTTTAACATAATCAGACAATTTATCTTTACAACACTTACAACGTGAAGCACTTGACAAGTTGTGCTTTGTAAGCATTGTAAAGAGGGGACAGTTGTTGTTACTCATTTTTGGACTCCTCGTACTAGTGACAGTGTATACCTCTTTTGAACTGAATGTAGGAGTTTAACTCGTGTTTGCTGGAAAATTGACAAAAGTAGAGAAAGAAATATTTTTTTCAAAATCCAGTTTGAGCTATTTTCTGCTCTCTTTATCCTTCCCCTTTGCTCCAAAATCATAAGGTTTTTGTAGATTTATCAGGATTGTTCATGATGCTAAATTAGTTCCTTCTTTATCTAGCCCTTATGGTTGGATAAATCCTTTAGAATTTGAACTAAAAGAATTGGTTTTACTACTGTCGCAATTTTTATTCCAACTTATGCTTTAATTCTGACTTGGTTTCATATGATATCTGACCATCCTAACTATATTCTATCACTCATGACATGTTGAAGAATTGACCAACACCTTTATTGGGTCCTAGGGTTCACTGTTCTTAAGGCAGACTCTTAGTAAGATATAGATGCTCGACATTATCAGATTAAGAAAACCTTTTTGACTAACTATATCCGTGCCAGATTTTATTATCTAAAACGATTTTATCTCACTTTGAATCCTCATCAAATTTGTAGTCTGAGACTTGTAAATGAATTTGAGCTTTTGAATTACTTGATTTCGATATCAGAAGCTCAAGATATTCCTGTTTGACATCTAGCATAAAAACATAAAATCCTGCCGCGAAAAGGTTTCTAGCCAAGTTGATGCGGATTAGCCTAACACCAAGCATAATCATGCCAACAACCCATTGGAGGTGCCAATTGGGCCAATCACAAGAGCTAGGGCTAAGAAGCTTAAAGAAGCATTGAATGGGCTTGTTCAGAATATATGGAACAAAATGGACCTAGAGAGGCTTGGAACATTTAAGGAGCATGAAGGACAGCCTTTAATTCATTTAGTTCAGGTCCAAGAAGAGCCCAATTCATGTGGAACAAGGGGTTGATGGGTCCGGCCCAATACCAGCTTTGTTAGGCTTGTCTTTTCTAAATACTACAAGGATAAAGAGTCAGCAATTTATTCTCCTAACTAAGTAAGGAAGTTGGCCAAATCTTATTCCTATAGAGGGGAGGACTATTTAATGCTTTTCCTCACTTAGGAAGGAAAGTAATTAAATCAGCAACAAAGGAGGAAATTTGTTTTCTTATTTGTCCAAGTTAAACAAGGAATTCCAAGCTAATCAAGGACATCAAAGGGGGCAGCAACACAAATTTTCCAAATCAGATTTTTCCAATTTTGTTTAGGACTTCTTAAGGGTGACAAATCTGATTCTAGCTTATTTAGGATGGTATTTTCGGATTTTTAGTATTTTTAGTATTTTCTTCTTAGTTTTTGGGTTATTATTACTTATTTGGGTCAATTGTAAGTGGGCTACATATAAGTCCACCTAAGGGAGGTCCATTAGGGTTTCTTTAAGTTCAAATTCAGTATAAATAAAGGCATAACCCAAACATGTAAAGGTTACGCAATTTTCAGATTAATAAAACTTCTTTGCTGCACTTATTGTGTGTTGGTGGGATAATCTCCCTTCCTTGGTTCTCTAAAGAACTGAAAAAGACTTATCGAAGAACAATTGTCTTCGTGGCGTCATCCTTATACTTCTCGTTCGCGAATCAATATTCGTTGGGTGGGGGTTTCTGTTTTCAATAGTGCTGGTGCCTAGGTACAAGTTATCTTTGTGTCACACTCCTATCAAACCTGATTTACTTGGCTTTCCGGGAATTGGCATCTTTGCGTGTGGGTTGCGTGACCATGTGATCACGAGGTTCGCATCACAAGTTCGGTCACAATTCTGTTATTCAAAAAGATTTTATCTCACTTTGAATCCTTCATCAAATTTTTAGTCTAGGACACGTAGGTGAATTTAGGCTTTTGAATTGCTTGATTTTGATATCAAAAGCTCAAGATATTCCTATTTGAAATCTAGCATAAAAACATAGAATCTTGTCGTGAGAAGGTTTACAGCCAAGTTTGGTTGCAATTTTGTTATTAAAAAAGAATTCATCTCACTTTAAATCCCCATGAAAGTTGTAGTATAGGACACATAGATGAATCTCGGCTTTTGAATCACTTGATTTCAATATCAGAAGCTTAAGATATTCTTGTTTGAATATTTAGTGTGAAAGCAGGGATTCCTACTGTGAGAAGGATTTTGCCCAAGTTCGTGGGCCTGATTTCGAGGGTTGTTTTTGGACTAAGCCTAATTTGAGGGATATTTTTGGACTCAGGATTGAATTGAAAAGTGCTAAAATGAGGGATTTAATCAAAGAAGGATATTAGAAGTTGGAGAGGGGGGTGAATCATCATAAATGATGGGATTTCTGCCACACTGAATAAGGAAAATCATGTTTTTGTGTAGCTATAATTCATAAAAAATGACAACTTTTGATAAGTATATTCTGATAATCACCAGTAACCTTTACCACCATAGGAGAATGGTCTGACATACCCGATGGCAAAAATCTCGCTTCTGAAAAGGGGAAGTTCAGATTCCATTTCTCATTGACAAGCACTCTATCTAGTTTCCGCATAATCAGATTCTCAGGACATTGGTTCGACCAAGTATAATGCAGGCCTGAATATCGAAGATCATCCACTTTCGCTTCTTGAATACATGTTTCCAATCTGTCCATATGACCAGCCCACGAAGTAGACCCTCCTAACCTGTCTGATTGGTAGCGGATAGCATTAAAGTCGCCCATAAGAATCCATGGGCTGGACTCCCATCCATCACTACGACTCACTATATCAGACCATAATGCCTCACGTAAGGAAGCGTTATTGTCTCCGTATATAATTGAAGCATTGAAACAGATATTGGTAGCTAATATAGTGACAGAAACATGAATAGCCTGGTCTGACATTCCGAGGACATCAACCTTCACCACATCAGCATTCCAACAAACCCAAATACGACCACGACAAGAGAAATCATAATTATACAAGAAGGACCAATTACGCAGAAGAAGTTGAGAAACATTATATTTATTCTCGTCTCTAACCCGAGTTTCAACCAAACCGAAAAGAGTCATCCTCTCTTGATGGATGAGCTGACGCAATGCTGAATGCTTTATGGGATCATTCAAACCTCTTACATTCCAACATCCAATAATCATAAGAAAATAGAGAGGAGTACAAACAGCAACACAAAGATTACCTCGACGTGCCCCCAGGCGAGGAGACAGATTTCTTATTCTTCTTTGAAGAGTTTTTCGAACCCTTTTTCTTTTTCTCTAGAGAGTCTCTAGCCTTAATAGCCAACTGATTAACAGTTTCCCTTTCGGTGGAATTCAGAGTTTGTGGGCTTGTCAGGATTGGTGACGTCAACTCCTTATCAGTTCGTTCCCCATCTGTATCACCTCCCATTGCGTCAATATCTACATTCAGCTCATGACTATTAACGAAAAGAACCTGGTTCACCGTCGCACAATCAGATGTATTGGAGATGGCTAAACTTTGATCTGAAGCAGTACTTGTACCCCCCTGCTCCTGCTTCATGTCTCCTTGTGAACTCTTCAAAACAAGAGGAGATGTAGGATTTTCATCTTCATAACAATCAGCATTGCTCACATCTGATGCAGCCTTCTCATTGATATTACAATCAGAAATATTTGTACCAGATGTCGAACAACCATTCTCATTACAGTTACGCACTTTAGATGCCAAAGTGCCATTCTCACCACTCACAGAACCCTTATTTCGTTTAGCAACTACCTGCCATTGAAACTGATTCTGCTGTTTATCCGCAGATTTAGAGTTCGCAGCTCCTAGTTTCCTCTTACCCTCTGCCTCCATTGTAAGATTTGCACCGTTATTAGTAGCACATATCGCTGTCGTGTGTCCAAAGACATTACAATTATTGCACTTTGATGGTATCCATTCGTAATCAGCTGAAATTGTTATGAATAATCCATTGGGACAGCGAAGGTCGTATTCCTTAACCAGCATCTTCGTAGCATCAATCTCAACACAAACTCTTGCGTAGCTAAGCCTTTGACGCAACAATGTAGTCTGATCAGCATGAAGAGGAACCCCAATAGCACTCGCTACACAACTCAACCCCTTAATAGTCCAATACTCAAGAGGAACATTATACAGCCTAACCCATACCGGAACTTTGACCAAATCACCTTTCAAAAATTGCATGTTCGGTTGCCAACGTTTAAGCACCAAAGGTCTGCTTGCCATGTGCCATGGGGCTCTTTCCAGCACATTAGTGGCATGATCAACAGAATCAAAAGTGAATAGAAGAACCTCACTATCATCTAATGGCTGGGATTTTATCCCTAACACAGATGGCTGGGATGATATGTTAATGTTAGAAAGAAATCACTAGAATCAACACATAATCAATGAGAATATTGTAGTTTCCTCATTTTAATTATTTGACTACAAATCAGCAAGGATTTGCATCCTAGATTAATGCATTGAATCTTTTCTAATAAGAGCTGTGTATAGACTATATATACACTGCCTCTACTAACCTAAAGAGGGAAAAAAACAAGAAAGGAAAGACAAGAAAAATCGTAAGAGAGGTAAGTAGTAGGAGAGAAAAAAAACAAAGAATAAGGGAGTTTCTTTCCTTCATCCTTGCATTGTTAGGAAATCAGAAAGGCAAGCAGTAGAAGAGAAGAAGTAGAAGAAAGAGCAAGAAATATGAGAGAAGAAAGAGAAACCATAAACAAGTAGGGATTGCCTTTTCGGTCTTTGCTTTTGTTTTTCTATATATAACATGTGCAGAATAGGGAAGAAGAAAGTGCAGGAACTAGGGTGAGAGAGTGACGAAGACGCAGAGAAAAGAAAAAACTAGAAAAACAGATGCAAATATAGAATAGGAGGAAAAGATTTGAATAGATGAAACAAACCGATCAACCATTATGCTTTCAACGTCAAGTTAGCTTCTTAGCTTCTTTTTAGTCTTCCTAGGTCTGTTTCTTTTCACCTCTTGCACCATGCATTATTTTGCTTTGTGTTTGCACTATTCAAGTGAATTTTAATTCACTTGAACAGTAACGTGGTCTCTTTACATGCGTTTTGCTTTATTCATTCAGAGGATTGCGCCTAGTGACCCGACTAGACCTATTGTTTTTCTTTCAAGAAAAAAAAAGAAAGAAAAAGAGATTTATGATTTTCTGACACATTTATTTTAAGGTCTCTTTTCTTTATGTTGTAAAAAATATCAATCTCATATTTAGAATGCCTGATTTTCGATGCAAGGTGATAAATATACATACATTGTTAAAAAAAAGATATTTTCTTATGTGTTACATACAACCAATAACCTAACATGTTTTGAATATTTTTTATACAAAAAATATTAGAAGTTTTGAAAATATGTTTTCGCGTGGATTTCTTAAACACAACAAAAATTAATTTCTTGTATTTCTGAATTTTACAACATGTTTGTAAAACTCCAAGGGTATTGGCTAATATTCCGAAAAATACAAAAATCTTATTTTGGGGGGAATTCATCTATTATTTACTACTAATTTTTGGATAAAGAAACCCTAAATTGTAAATATCCAAAATAATTTTCTAGGAATAATAAGTCATCACAAATCCTAGAAAAAAGCCTCAATTATAATTGAGGACATTTCAACTTTTGAATCCACGATTTACAAGCCGTGAAATTATGAAATACTAAGGCAAAATGAGACTTTTAAAGTGCTTTGAATTTTGTTAGTTCCTAAATCTTTCTCCTTCTTCCTTGTGATTTACGAGTTGCAAATTCTTGAAATTCTATAGAAAAAATAAGTTTTTAAAGCGCATGGAATCTCCTAGGATTTCTACCTTAATAAATTTAGTTTGAATCAAATCTAGAAAAACAGATGGGAATAGAAAACATAAACACCATAGCTATTATAAAGCAAACCAAACACAAAGCAGCTTACCTTTAGGTAAGGCGTCCTAGTGGGGTGCTAATATCTTCCTTTACACAACCAGTCCCTTGCCTTAGAATCTTTGAAAGATCAGTTAAGTTTTCTAGTGACCATAATACTAGGTCGAAAACAAAAACTCCGAAATAAATCGAGGGTCGCCGTGATGCCCTGCTCCGCTACGAAGGCGTGACATTAGTCTTGTTTTTTTTTCCTAATGATACAAGTATAGAAAGTCAGCAATTTATTTTCCTAAACAATCAAAGAAGTTTCAGCAGATCTTATTGCTAAAGAAGGGAGGATTTTTTAATAGTTTTCCTAGCCTAGGAAGGAAAGTAATTAAATTAAAAACTGAGTGAAATTGTTTTCTTATTTTTCCAAGTTAAATAAGGAAATCCAAGCTAATCAAGAGTCTAAAAGGGGCAGCAGCACAAATTTTCCAAATCAAATT